CAGGCGGGTCTCGAACCCGCGGTCTCAGGCAATCCACTCACCTCAACCTCCCAAAGGCGCAGGATTACAGGCTGAGCCACCGAGTCCGGCTGACAGCCTATATCTTATTTATTTTGGGTCAGAGTCTCACTCTGTTGCCCAGGCTGGAGGGTAGCGGCACGCTCACGGCTACCACAGCCTCGACCTGCTGGGCTCAGACTTCCAGGTAGTGGGAACTACAGGTGCGCCCCACCATGCCCAGTTAATTTTTTGATCCAGTGTAGAGACGACGTCTCGCCAAGTTGCCCAGGTTGGTCTCAAACCCCCGGGCTCAAGCCATCCCTTCACCTCCACTTCCCAAAGTGCTGGGATTACAAGCATGAGCCACCACATCTGGCTTAGACTGGATTTTTTGACTCTGTCATTATAAGTAATACTAAGTGGAATCTGTCAGAGAATGCCCACAGATGCATTGGTTAAAGAACACCGGAAAGCTTTGTCTCCTAGGCATTCCTTGTCTGGTGTCATACAAAGATCTGAAACAGTGACTGCCCGTAAATTATCAAATTCAAGAGCAAACAGAAACAGCAATGTTCTAGAGGGCTGTGATGTCTGGCTTTTCTGGGTTGTCAGGGTGGTGGTCTGGTCAAGGAGAGTCTGGAGACCCCTGCTCGTGTCTCAGCTCTGCCTTGAAACTATGTGATCACAGCTGGATCCCAGAGTGGCTTCATCTAGAAGTCGCTTGTGTTTGCCCTGTCCTCCAAGGTCCCTGGCCACTCTGCATTCTAGCATCCACATTTCTCAGATCTGGAATAAGTGTCATGGGGAGTTTCTGTAGCGTCCTCCGTGGGTTGACAGAGCATTCATTTTAAGATTTTCCTTTCTAAGTACAAGTAGGTCCTACCTGGATCCTTGACACCAAAATACAATGTAAGAAGCAGTTCCAATAGTAGTTATTTTTTTCCCTCTTTTTAAAGAAAAAAATTGGAAGGATTATTCTTTACCTTATTTGCCCATTCTGGCTCTTGTCTCATTCCCCACCCCCCAAGTTAGAACAGGTTTTAGCATTTCAGAAATTATACACAGTAAGCACTTCTTTAAGTTCTGATGAAGCTGGACTGGCCATCTATTTGGCCAGCACTGCTACGCACCCCAGCCGTGCGTGGACTGACTTGTTGGGGGGGTCTGGGCGCAGAGTGTGTTTCATGGTGACCACGTGAGGCCTTCGGAGGGAACGCCCTGGCTCCTTCCTGGGAACCGTCAGTGCCTGCCTTGGCACTTGGGGAAGGCGTCTCTGACTCAGGCCCACGTCTGTCCTGCAGCACACCAGCGCTGGTGCAGAAGGCTCCGGCCAAGCCCTGGCATCCCCCGGGTCCTGTCTGGAGGAGTTCAGGAGCGCGCCCTTCATCGAGTGCCACGGCCGTGGGACCTGCAACTACTATGCAAATGCTTACAGCTTCTGGCTTGCCACCATAGAGAGAAGTGAGATGTTCAAGTAAGTGGGAGCGCCTGGCTGCTGTGGGGCTCCAGCCCCTCTGTGGCTTTTCTTTTTAATCATCCGTGATCCTTGACCCCTTGCCATGCTGAGTCTCCAGGGTGGCTCTAAAACAACCATTAGGGAAGCTTTTATTTTCCACGTGGAGTCACGGACATTTGGTGCTATTCTTCACGGGCAGGTGTCCAAGACAATTTTCAGAGGCAGATCTCAGGTGATGGGTTTCATTCTCCCGTTGACGGAAGAACTAAAAGAAAAAGCGTCGTCTTGTTTTTTTTGGGGGGGGGTGAATGTACGAAACTGTAAGTAAAGCCACTGAAATCTCCAAATAGAGCAGGTTTAGAATGTTGTGTATTTAACAGCCAAGGGGGAGGGACGGAGCAGTGGTCATTTTCATACTAAATTGAGTGTCTGTGTTGTATACGTTCTGAGTGGCCGAAGGAGACTTTTTCAAAACCTATGTAAATAAAAATCAATTTCAGCATGAGTGCTGCTGGAATTGAGAGGGGAGCCCTTTCCTTCCTTTTCCATTACCCTAATTCTGCCTTTAGGCCAACTCCCCCAGGTGGCTACTTACCTTGCTGGAGTACACTTGGTGCCTGGACGGGTCCCTGGTGGACAGGGGCACCTTGACGATCCCTCTGTCCCTGATGGGGCACTGGCCGCAGGCCCTCACAGAGGCTGACGGAGTGGCAGCCGTTTCTTACTGTTCGTTCCCTAAATAAACACCTCTCAACCCTGGAGACAAGCCTTTCAGGCTGCCCCTTTTTCAGGGAGAATCATACGAAACTCAACTAGGGTCCTCTCTCTTTCCGGCTTAGATCATGAAATGCAAAGCAGCACACTCGCTCACCCAAAGAAGTGCCACTAAACACTGGGCATGCAAGCACCAAGGTGGAACAGCCAACGCTGGGCACAGCTGAAGGAGGGAGGGAGGGGACGGGGACACACAGCCACCCATGGGGCACCACGTCCACCTCGTGGAAGCCCGACCTCACCTTCACACAATTTACTTGTAGGGCGAAGGCTCACATGTACCCCATGACTCTAAAAACATTAAAAATAAATTTTAAAAAGTAATACAAGCAAATATCGTGTAGCAGCTATTAGTTGTTGGTGCCACGTGTCTTATTGGTGGCTTATATGAGGCTGCAGAAGTGAATGGAAACTTGATATCAACGCTGCAGGTAGACATTAGCCATCAACTTCCAACATGAGCACATGTGGTTATGTCTCAGCTGCTGGGGCTTCCCATTATAGGACTGAGAGGTAACAATGGGATTTTTTTTAAACCAGCACCGTTATTCTATAAACTAAACTGTCTTCTCAAACACAGTTAAGATCCCATTCATTTAAATAAGTAATTTGAGAGCACTAGAATGTATACCCAAAGTTGCTCAAATAGCACCCTACCTTTTAGGACCAAATACTCTTCTGTATGGTGATTTTAATTTTAATGAAATTTTATTAGAACCAATTTTAGTTCGGATTTCACCTTCCCGATGATGAAAAATAATGCAAAATTTCTAGGGTCAAGAAGCATTTGGGACGTGCCTTCACATCAGACCATCTGCATATAAATCCTTCAAAGGGTATAAAATTATGATTATTTTGAGACAGAGTCTTGCTCTGTTGCCCAAGCTAGAGTGCAATGGTGTGATCATAGCCCCCTGTAGCCTCGAACTCCTGGGCTCAGGGGATCCTCCCATCTCAGCCTCCCAAGTAGCTGGGACTATAGGCGCATGCCACCATGTCTGGATAACTTTTCTTTCCTTTTAAAAAAATTTTTAAATGTTAGATTCAAGGGAGACACATGTGTATTTGTTACATGGACATATTGTGCTGTGGTGTGGATTGGGTCTCAGGTGGCCTATTCCCTAGATAGTGAACATTGCACCCATGGGTAGTTTCTGAACCCTAACTCCTCTCCTTCCTGCCCCCCTTATTGGTGTCCCCAGTGTCTGTTATTTCTAGCCTGGTGACTGCTCAGCTCCCACCTTGGAGTGAGACCATGAGGTGTTTGGCTGTCCGACTCAGTTCACCTTAGGGACAGGATCTCGCCCAGGCTGGCGTATCAATGCATTTGGAGGTCTGGTTATTCACTCCAGATCTGCTAGTCGTCACTTCATTCAACAGACAGTTAATGAATACTGACCCCATGCGTAGAGGGTCGCCAAGAAGAATAGCATCCTCTTTCCACCCTGGAGGAGTTTATAATCTAGCGGAGAGGACAAGACAAAGTTAAACGACAGTGCCGGCAGGGTGGCGTGGAGGGAAGTAACTCAGTCGCCGGAGCCAGACAGATGTGGGTGACTCCAGCAGGGTCCTAACTAGCCGTGTGCACCTGGGCAGGCCGTGGGCCTCAGGCAAGAACAGCGCAGGGCAGCCTGCAGCGCTCTGGGTTAACGGAGCTGCGAGTGCCCCAGCCCCGAGGTAACCACCGTGGGCCGTTACCAAGTGGGCGCCCGAAGCGATGTCCCAGCAGGGCGGGAGGACCGAGGGCCGAGGTGTCCCATGACAACATCCAATGGTGTGTCTGTGTTGCGTCCTAGGAAGCCCACGCCGTCCACCTTGAAGGCAGGGGAGCTGCGTACGCACGTCAGCCGCTGCCAAGTGTGCATGAGAAGAACATAATGAAACCCGACTCAGCTGACGTCACAACATGGTGCTACTCCTCCTCCCTTCTTCCTCTTCTTCTTCTTTGTTTAACAGCAACGAACCCTAGAAATGTATCCTGTGTACCTCACTGTCCAGTATGAAAACCATAAAGTGCCTTATACGAATGTGCGTAACTAACACTCCCTGCTTCATTGGCCTCTGTTTGCTGAAGGAGAAAAAAGAGACAACGATAAGCTTTCGATAGTGGCATACCGAGTGGCACTTTGGATGAAATAAAATACCAGTCTCTTCTGCAATCCAATGCACTGATGCGTGAAGTGAGCACGCCATCAGAACCAACCAAAGGGTGCTAGGAGGTGTGGTGCCTTCCGTAACTGTTTGCCCATTTGCATTCTGTATTATAACTGATTTTCCACCCCCAGAGATAAGTGTCTGTTGATATCACTGCCTAGATGTTTCAGAATTCAGGTCCCTTGGTCTGTACAAATGAGAGTGATGTAAAAATGGGTTTTTTTTTTTTCTTTTGGAACCTCCAAACGGAATTTCGGACTCAGTCAGTCATATCCTCCGATCCCCAAATTTATGTCTTTCTGCTCTGTGTGGTACTATGCAGCTGCTTTTGCAGAAATCATGACTCTCCTGTGGAATAAAGATGGTCCAAAAGTAGTTGGAAATTAAATATATATATATTTTAGTAATTTATATAGATGTCAGCAATTAGGCAGATCAAGGTTTAGTTCAACTCCCACTGTTAAAATGAAGCTTCCATCGTTCTTCTTCCTTGAAAAGACTGTGCTGTCCTTTGACATAGGTTTTCAGACACGAGGCTGTTGAATGTGAAACATCAGTTCTCATTGTTCACTTCTAAACCAAAAATCACATGTTGCCAAAAACCGAACCCAGGTTCACGAATATGGTGTCTATTACAGTGAAACATGTACTTTGAGCTTGTTGTTTTTATTCTGTATTAAATGTGTTCAGGGTTTTAAACACTAATCGCAGACTGAATGACTTGACTTCAGAGAACAAACCTGAAAGGCCTTCCTTTCACCTAGTGTTCCTCATTCTGCATCCCGGCTTGAAAGACAGCTCTGTCGAATCCAAAGATCAGTATTTTTACACGTAAGCCCGTTCAGGCCGCCTCCTGGGGTTCTCACGAGCTGAGCTCACAGACTACAGCAGGGGAACGGACGGATCGCAGGGGGTCTGTCTCCACCACTGTGCCTGAATGACCTTTCACTCAAAGTCTCCCCAAAACGGTTTTAAGACTACTAAGGCCTTTTGTGTAATTTCTTTAAATGTGTATTTCTGAAGAACTCAAATTTGTAATAAAACTATTTGTATAAAAATTAAGCTTTTATTAATTTGTTGCTAGGATTGCCACAGAAGCATTAAAAGAACGTTCTTGCACAAGCTGCTAATAAATTTGTAAGCTTTGCATTACCTTAGATCATTTTTCATTTTGCACTTCTTCCAAATAAAAGTCACAGACCGGGTGGGGCCGGGTGGGGGGGGGTGGTAATTTACAGCAATGATTACACAAAAAAATGAGGGGTCTTCTCCGTCTCTTCCTCTGCCGAAATCTCCTTCAGTTCCTCCCTCGCGTTCTTCCATCCATCCCTGCAGGCCGCCACCGTCGGTCTACCCCATCCACTCCATCATTGCACGTACGCCGGTCCCCAAGCCCTGGTTAGACAAGGGGAGCAGAGATGAGTAACACACACGTTCAGCCTTGAAGAGCGACTCTGCTGGGAGTTAGACCAGAGACTGTAGTTACACAGTAGACGGGATTCCAGGTATCACTTGATGTGGCAAAAAAAGTAAGATATGGCAGATTGCTTTTTTTCCATTGACTCGAGCTTCAGTTTATTTTTTGTTTTTTATTTTTTGAGTTGGAGTCTCACTCTGCCCACCCAGGCTGGAGTGGAGTGGCACTCTCACAGCCACTGCAGCCTCAACCTGCTGGGCTTGGACGATCCTTCTGCCTCAACCTTCCAAGTAGCTGGAACTACACACACACGCCACCATGCCCGGTTAATTTTTATGATTTATTGTAGAGACGAGGTCTCACCAAGTTTCCCTGGCTGGTCTCGAACCCCCTGGCTCAGGCAATCCTCTCACCTCGGCCTCCCAAAGTGCTGGGCTTGCGGGCTGAGCCACCACGCCTGGCTAGCTTCAGTTTAAATTGAATCAAAATATGAGGGAGGCCCCCCAAACCTGGAATTTATTTGTAAAACATGGTGCATTGATTCTAAACTTCAGCCACTTTCAAAATACTCTCCGTTGGATGCCATACACCTATTGGGACGCTTTTTCCCCTGCTCAGAACAGTTTTTGAGCTCATCCATTTTGATGCCTTTTAGTGTTTCTTCCACTTTTTGTCCCACCTCTTCCATATCAGCAACATGTTTCCCTTTGAGAACTTGTTTTCGTCTGGGGAAACAGCCAAGTCTCTTGGGCCAAGATGGGGTGAATAGGGAGGATGGGGCCTGGGAGTCATGCCATCCGGGTCAAAAACTGCACACAGAGCGCAATGTGGACAGGTGCGTTGTCATGGTGGGAGAATCAGTTTGCCACAACTTGGGACGTTTCTTCTGCAAATCGTGATGCAAACGTCTCCAAACTTCCAGATGGAATCTTTGGCGATTGTTTGACTGAAGGAACAAATTCTGAGTGTGCCATAAGGAGCCCACCCTCCAAAAGATAACTCCATTTCTTGGGGGGAGGGGTCTCCCCTCATGTAGCCCACAGAGGATGAATGCGTTACTGAGTACTCAAGAAAAAGCTCTCCATGGTGTCATGTTCTTGGTTAACTTACCCAGCAAAGCTACAGTGGGGTCACATGGGACAATATAAGAACTCACCACACAGTGTCCAGGCAGGGACACAGTCAGGGTCTAGCTTCCGTTACCTTCTTCCCACTTTTGACCAACATGATAAGAATTCTTCTACTCTCCTTAATATATAGAATAGTAGAGAAAAACACTAAAATCTTTCAGTTTAGTTTCTACTGAAGTTACTGAGATACATTAAACCCCTCTGCCTAGTGGCTGCTTCAGAGAATTATTTTTGCTATGGATAAAACTGACTTTCTTGTTATTATTTATTATATAATGACATTTTATATATCTTGGGAAGTACCAGGAAGATAGCACGACTTCTTGAATCTCAACAGTCAGATCCCTTGCATTTTATATGTGTTATCCAGAAAGCAGTTTTTATGTTGTTTTAAAAATTAACGTACAGCAAAATTGACTTACGGTGGTGTACAGTTCTACAGCGTATGTATAGGGTCATGGAACCATAACCGTATTGGCACACAGAACAGTTAAATCCCCCCCCAAAACTCCTTCTTTCTGTGGAGGGACACTCACCAAACCTGGTCATCAACCACTCGGTCACGATAGCTTGTCTGTCCAAGAATGGAATAGCAGAGTGTCACCTCTGGAGGCTGTCTCCTCTCACCCAGCGCAGTGCTTTTGACATGCGTCCCAGTTGCTGTGCGACTCCATAGCTCATTCCGTTTCATTGCTGAATGAGATGACATTTTACAGACGCAACACTTCACTTGTGTCTTCACCTCTTGAAGGGTATTTGGGTTGGCTCCAGTTTGGGGTGACTACGAATAGAGAAAAGTCATTCACGTGCAGGTTTTTGTCAGCACATAAGTCTTCACCTCTGTAGGGTAAATACCGAGGGCTAGGATTGCTGTGTCACGTGATGAGCGCATGTCCAATGTTCTAAGAAGCTGCCGAGTGATTTTCCCCAGTGGCCAGTTTTTGTAGTTTATTGTGGAGACAAGGTCTCACCAAGTTGTTCAGGCTGGTCTCGAACCCCCAGGCTCAGGCAATCCTCTCGCCTTGGCCTCCCAAAGTGCTGGGATTACAGGCTGAGTCACCATGCCTGCTCTGTAAAATTTGGCATTATAAAGTAAACAATTCAATGGAGTTTCGTACATTCGCAACGTTAAACAGCCACTACCTGCTTCTAGTTGCAAAACATTTTCATCACCCCACGACCCCATTCTCCCCTATCCTACCCCAAATCCCGAGCCCCTGGCAAATATCAATCTCTTTCTGACTCCATAGATTTACTTATTTCCTACAATGGAATCATAGCATATATGACTTTTGTGTCTGATTTTTTTCACTTAGCGTGATGTTTTCAAGGTTAACCATGTGAGGCATGCCTTGGTATTTCTTTTTTTAAAATATTTTTATTGTAAAGATGTGGGATACAATTCAGGGTTAGGTATACAAACATTGATCATGCAGGTTCCCCTGCTAATGAGGCATGCCCCTCCCTCTCCTAGCAGTTTCCCTCAACTGCCAATCCCACCCCCCGCATTTGCATTTCAATAACTTTCATTGCTGTATACTTTCCATCCTATAGAAATATCACATTTTCTTTGTGCACTCATCCATTTATGAATATTTGGACTATTCTGACTTTTTTGGCTATTGTGAATAGTGTTGCTGTGAACATGCATGTACATGTATTTGCTTTGAGTTTTCAATTCTCTTGGGTCTATACCTAGAAGCGTAATTGCTGACTCGATGTTTAGTTTTTGAGGAACTGCCAAGTTGTTTTCCACAGAGGCCAAGCCGTTTTACACTCCCACCGGAAGTGTATGAGGGCTCTAATTTCTCCACAGCCTTGTCAACTCTTGCAGTTCTCCAATTTTTGATTATAACCATCTTAGTGGGTGTGAACTAGTATTGCACAATGGTTTTGACTTGCATTTTCTTAATTGTTAATGATGTTGAACATCTTTTCATGCGCTTGTTGGCCATTTGTGTACCTTTGAAGAAATGTCCATTCAAGTTTTTTGCTATTTTAAAATTAGTGTTTGCCTTTTGTTTTTGCTTTTTAAATTATTTAAATATTCTGAATACTAGACCCTTATCCAATATGTGATTTGCAAATATATTTTTCAATTCTATAAATTGACTTTTTACTTTCGTAATAATATGTTTTAATGAGCAAAGGGCTTTAATTTTGATAAAGTACAATTTGTCTATTTTTCTTCTGTTGCTTATGCTTTTGACGAAGACTCTTTTGTCAAATCCAAGGTCACAAATGTTTACCCCAATGTTTTCCTCTAAGAGTTTTATAGGTTTAGCTCTTATATTTACATCATTGATCCACTTTGAATTAACTTTTTTATGTAGTATGAAGTGGGGATTCAACTCCATTCTTTTACATATGAATATTCAGTTGTCCCAGCACCGTTTAAAGAGACTATCTTTACCCATTGGATAATCTTGGACACCTTTGCCAAAAATCAGTCGGCCATGGATGTATAGCTTCTATGGTTGTTTTAAATTTTTTAATGATATGTGAAATTTAGATTAGGGTTCATTATTTTGGATATAGGTGTGCAATTCATGAGACACTTAAAGAAAAAGCCTATGGGATTTCTCCATTGCACTTATTTTGCATCTTTGCCAAAGTCACTTGACCATATTTTGTGTAGGTCTATTTTTAGACTCTTGTGTTTCATAGGTCTATATATGTATACCTTCACCAGTATTATGTTCTTTTGATTAATTTAGTTTTTAAATCTTTTAGACTCTTATGTTTCATTGGTTTATATATGTATGCCTTCACCAAGACTATACTCTTTTGATTGATTTAGTTTTTAAATCTTTTTTTTTTTATGCTTTTAAATCTTAAAAGCAGTTAGTGTGATTCTTCTTACTTTGAGCTTCTTTTAAAAACTGTCTTAGCTATCCTAATTACTTTGTTTTTTCTATAAATTTGGGATTCAGCTTGTCTAAATTTGCAAAACAGATCACAGGATTTTGATTTGAATTATGCTAAATCATCAATAATTTTGGAAAGAATTGTCATCTCTACAAAATCTTATGTTCTGTGAGTAGGGTATGTCTTTTATTTATTTAGGTCTTTGATTTTTCTGTGTATAGATCCTGTACCTGGCTTGTTAGACCTATACTTAATTTTAGAATCATTGCAAATGGCATTATCTTTTAAATCTTGATTTCCATTTAGACATGCCTAATGCATAGAAATCTGATTGAATTTTTGTGTGTTGACCTTGGATTCTGTGACTTTGCTAAATTCACTGTAGAGCTCTAAGATAATTTTTTTGTAGTGTTTTTTTTTTTTTTTTTGAGTTGGAGTCTCACTCTGTCACCCAGACTGGAGTGTAGTGGCCGCTCCCAGCCACCGCAGCCTCAATCTGCTGGGCTCAGGTGATCTTTCCGCCTCAGCCTTCCAAGTAGCTGGAACTACAGGCGCGCGCTACCACGCCTGGCTCATTTTGATTTATTGGGGAGATGAGGTCTCGCCAAGTTGCCCAGGCAGGTCTCGAACCCACGGGCTCAGGCAATCCACTCACCTCAGCCTCCCAAAGGCGTGGGATTACAGGCTGAGCCACCGAGCCCGGCTGTAGTTTTGTTAAGATGTTCTACACAGCCAATCAAGT